GGCAGAGAAACCACCATAGAAATTGTGAAGGAGAAGATGGGTCTTGGCCTGTCCATTGTGGGTGGCTCTGATACACTCCTGGTATGTGTTGATCTCCCCCTTTTTTCGTACTTATATTTAAATATAATTAAGAATAAATCAGAATGAACCAAAATGTGATTTAGATATGTAAATGCAAGTATTGAGGGAGGAGGAGGGGAAAGAAAACTGGTATTCTTGGCATAGTTATGAGTAATATTTTATAGTGGTTGACCAAATTAGAAGATATATATTCTTTTTTTCTCTCTTTCTTTGTTTACTATTTTTCAGTATTTAACCATCTTCATGTATATTTTTTTGTGTAGTAGAACAATATAAAATCATCATTTATATATACTTCTAAATATCAGAGTAACACTTTGTTTGTTTCTTCTTGCTTCCTTCCTGGTCTTGCATCATTGAAGAGAGTAAGTACTTATGAAGTACTATCCTTATGCATTAGTTTGCAGCTTCTTGTGTGAGCCAAATGAATAATAAGTGCTTAGTTGTGTTATTGTGTGTTGCTTCTGTTGACTGAAAAAAGGGCTTTTTTTTTATAATGCTTTTGATTTTTCCGGTTTGACAGTGTATGCAGTTTTAAGCAAGTTGATAACGTTAGATGCTGAAATAAGTGTTTGGGAAAGGAACTAGGTTTAAAGGTTAAATATTATATCTTGTTTTCTTTTCTTTTTTTTAATGTGCTTTTCATGGGTATTTTGTGGGGCTAATTTCATGTTTTTTTGTGCTTGGAGATACATAATGGAGTGCGGTTTTGTTTTTAGTCCTGGTTGTATTATATGGTCACGGCCAATTCTTACAGCATTTAAAAGAATATTTTTGTTAAACAGTGTAGTAATTCTATTTTTTTTATTTTGATAGATTAGAGTTGTTAGTAAGTCGTATATTATTGCTATCTTTCAGCTTGTGTGTAGTTATTAAAAATATTTAAGCAGATGTTTCATATTCTCTTGCTATTACAAAAAAGGGAACAAGAGTTGTATCTCTGATTCTTATGTAGTCTATCTGCATTATGACAAGATAGAGTAAGGTATACATTACTGAAAAGAGAGACAAAAAATATAAAGTCAAAATAACGGTACATAATGAAAACTGTATTTTCTTGTACCTGCAGAATATAGTAGCAAAATATTAATGCATTGTTTATTTTTAGGGTGCTATCATCATCCATGAAGTTTACCCTGATGGTGCAGCTGCTAAGGATGGAAGATTGAAACCAGGTGATCAGATTCTTAATGTGAACAATGAGAACTTCAGGGACATAACACACCAGAAAGCTCTTAGTGTTCTACGACAGACGCCATCAAAGGTAAAGAAAAAAATATTGACTAAATTTGTGATTTTTTTTTTTTTTCTTTCTTTTTGTTAACATGTTGAATACACTCATGAATTTAAAGCATGGGTTGTTCTTTATGCAGTTGGTAATTTTAAGAGAATCCAAAAATTCCATATAGTAATTTTTCATCAAGAACAGATCAAATCAAAGAATTCAAGAGATTTTGTTATAAAAATGCAAAATATACATTGATTTAGAGGAATAGTCTTTGAAATATGTAATAGTGATTCAGAGATTAATGTCTTTGAAAGGAAAAGGAATTTAAATGCTTAATGTATATGTTTCTGCCTGGGTATTTCAAAATATTCTTATTTCAGGAATTTTCTCATTTTATGCCATTATCTTTTTGATTTTTAACATTTCTCTTTTTCACCTAGTCCTTTTACATTCTAAGTTTGAATCTAGGAACACTTCTTTTTCATAAACTTGTACTTACATTTTCTTCATTTTGCATGTTATAAAGGATAAGGAGAAGGTAAAGTTAACAAGAGTTATTTTCCCTAACACACCAACCTTCCTTGGAAAAAAAAATACATTAGAAGTCCAGTACTATAGATAATATAAAAAAATCAGTCAGTTATTTCATGAAGTTAATTTGAACAAAAACAAAAAATAAAAAAAATATCCCCATATTTACTAAAAGAAATGTAAGAAAGTCTTAGAATAGGTCTTGAATATGTAAGTGTTAGCTTGTAAATGAAATATCTATACATTAACCTATTTGTCAATAGCATTGTACAAGTCCGTAGGTTGCATTCCTCCTTAGGTTGCCGATTGGAGAATTGAATAGAACCCAGCTCTGTTTAAGTCCAGTAGTGTAACTGTCATTGGTAGTGTTCTCTTCATCCTAGCAGATTGAATGGTAAAAATAACATTTTGAGAAGCACATTAATAGCACTTTCTTAAGCAATTAGGAAGACCCATCCTTGAAGGCCGATAGAATTGAAGTTGTTATCCTTATATCATTTTTCATCTTTTTACTAGAGAACTAATGCCCGGTAATATTATAGGCTTAAGCATTGATTACTATTTTCTGTTCTGGAATTTTACATAAACAGTATATTTTTCTTTTCCACTGAACTGAATTTTAATGGTTTCATGCTAAAACAAGTTCAGAGAATTACTCATGTAATAGAGATTTTCATTTCAAATTTCACGTTTTAGTGATATTTTTCAAATTTCACATTTTTGTGATATTTTTCAAATTTCACATTTTAGTGATATTTCAAAAAATTTCACATTTTAGTGTTTTAATTTCTTTAATTTTTTTGTGTTATTCTATAACATACTTCATATTTTAAGGACACACAGCAGCTCACACACATGGAGTAAAAACAACCATATTTATTTGTGCAAAAGGTCACCCAAGTAGGGAAGATCATCTTTTTTTTTTTCTTTACCATTTTCACCATTTTTTTTTCTTATCATCCTCATAATTACTAATAAGAAGCAGTTCTCAAATATCTTTGAAATTCAATCTATAATTGAGTCTAAAAGAGAAATAATACTAAATGAAACTATTTTTTTTATTTTGTTATCACAAGCCTCTTAGCATCTTACTATCAATTGTCAGTAACAACAGTCATGAATTCCAGGTAAAAATGGTTGTTTACCGTGAAGAGGGAAGCCAGAAGGAAGAGGATTTGTATGATATTATCACCGTCCAACTCACAAAGAAGTCTGGCAAGGGTCTTGGACTTTCTATAGTTGGACGTAAGAATGGCCCTGGTGTCTTCATCTCTGATGTGGTGAGTTTAAATATTATGTATATTATGTATCATTATTATACCTTGTGGGTTTTGAAGATATCTGTAGAATGATGTGTGTCTCCTACCCATCCTTACACCATCCTAGTATGAACTTTTTAGGAAAACAAAGCCTAACTTTTCAATTACAATGTTTTAGGTTCCTGGTGGTGTGGCTGAGAGTGATGGCCGGCTCATGCAAGGTGATCAGATCCTTGAAGTGAACGATAAAGACCTTCGCCAGGCTACCCAGGAGCAGGCAGCCGCTATTCTCAAGTGTGCTCCAGGTTCTGTCAGTATGAAATTAGGAAGACTTAAGGCTGGCAAGAAAGCTAACTCCAATAACAACGCGTAAGAGCTCTCATATTTATGTTAAACAGTACTTTTAATGGAGTTTCCCACTTCAAAGAAATGCTTTTGCAAGTGAGTGATAATGAGATGTAAGTCTTAGACAAGTATTACTAGCAGATGCCTAATATTTATTCTGTACTTTCATTGCATACACAGGAAGTAAAGGTTTGTATTAGTACTGACTTTTAATACTATACCATCTTTTTATATTTACATTTATTAATATTTACATATATTTTTTCTTTTCCATAGCTCTTTTAATGACTTTTAATATCTAAAGATGGGAAAGTATTAACATTTATTTATATTTACATTTATCTTTTTTTTACATATATTTTTTTCTTTTTTTTTTTTTTCTTATCATCCTCATAATTACTAATAAGAAGCAGTTCTCAAATATCTTTGAAATTCAATCTATAATTGAGAGTCTAAAAGAGAAATAATACTAAATGAGACTATTTTTTTTATTTTGTTATCACAAGCCTCTTAGCATCTTACTATCAATTGTCAGTAACAACGGTCATGAATTCCAGGTAAAAATGGTTGTTTACCGTGAAGAGGGAAGCCAGAAGGAAGAGGATTTGTATGATATTATCACCGTCCAACTCACAAAGAAGTCTGGCAAGGGTCTTGGACTTTCTATAGTTGGACGTAAGAATGGCCCTGGTGTCTTCATCTCTGATGTGGTGAGTTTAAATATTATGTATATTATGTATCATTATTATACCTTGTGGGTTTTGAAGATATCTGTAGAATGATGTGTGTCTCCTACCCATCCTTACACCATCCTAGTATGAACTTTTTAGGAAAACAAAGCCTAACTTCTTTTTCTTTTCCATAACTCTCTCAAACTTTGCAAATTTAAAATGAACCTCATTTCATTTTTGTACCAGCAGTCTCATTTTTTATGCACCCTTTTTCAGGAATAACACATGGCCAGTGACAATAAGTGACAGCTCCCCTGAGGGTAGCACCAAAGTCCCGCCAGAACCCCCTGTCCCCATCCCCCGCACACATCTGCCTCCGCTCATCCAGCCACACCACCTGCCACCCCAGACACCACCCCTGCAACAGCAACAGCAGCAGATTCAGCCAAAGGAACCCCAGGAAACATCAGGTATCAGGACAATCTTGCTGGAGCGACGTGATGATGGCCTTGGGTTCTCGATCGTTGGAGGTTTCGGCTCCAATTTAGGTGATTTGCCAATATATGTGAAGAGTGTCTTTGAGCGTGGTGCCGCAGCTCGTGAAGGATCCCTAAGGCGTGGAGATCAGATTCTTGAAGTGAATGGAGAATCACTAGCTGGACTGACCCATGCAGAAGCAGTATATATTCTGAAAGAAGCAAGGGGAACTGTAGCACTCACCATTTTGCCATCTAAGTAATACCCAGAACTGTTACATTTTTTATTTTTCAATTTTGGTGTTTAATAGTTGTGAATGAAGGGCAGTTCTGCAAGACGTATATTTGTGACATATTTGTTAAGAAATCTTGGCTGCAATGTTTGTATAAGTTGTATCATCATGAAAATGAAATTGTCCTTACTACAAAGGCTTCCTGTAATTTTCTTTTTAAGCCATGTGACTGTGTCAGATGCTTGATATGATCGGTTTTAATTTGTAAATGCTCACAGGGACTCTTAATGACTTATCATATATACAGACAGAGTATGAGTAAGACAGAAAAGAAGTAATCTTTGATACTGCACCAATGTGTGGCCTTTAGAAATTTAAGATAGTTTCAAAGTAGCCTTGTGCCCACATAAAGAATGGTAATGTGATTCTTTATTTATTTTTTTAATCATATTTTTTCTTGTAAATCCCTTGATTGAAATGGACATGATAATGAAACTTAAAACCTTAATAGACCCTTCCCTAGAATTTGAAAACCGAAAAAAAAGGAATCTGAATCTAGTAGACTTGATAGATGTTCTAGAGGTGGATAAGTAAAGATCTGCACCTGCATTAAATTTGCAAAGATTTGTCTTTGATGTAAAAGTGAGAGAGAATAAAAAAAAAAGCTGTTATAATGTCTGAGGCAAAAATCTTGTTTAACCTATGTGTAACATTGAGAAATGTATACAGTTTAAGGTTGCACACTTAACTTTCAATAAGTCTTATCTCAAGCTGTGTTCATATCCTTGATTGGGTGTGATTATTTAGATTATGTATACATCCAATTTCTTCAGCCAATTGTGAGTTTTACTGCAGTGTGTATATATACAGTATGATCATTTGCAGTTTTACAGTTCCAATAAATGTAATAGTATGCATACTATTATTAATTAGTTGGCTAGATATTTTCCCCAAGTCTATTTGGCATATCAGATTCCTATTGGTATTATGTGCAGGCCTAAGCCATTTGTTTTTGATAGAGCACTATCCATAGAGTCTACCGTTCATGTTGTTGATTGCTTGATTACAAAAAAGCCTTGTTAATCCAAACCAACATGACTGCTTGTTGAAAACCTTTGATTTTATCTTGATTTTTAGGTGGATTGCTTAAAGTGATTGTTTAATATTTGTTTTGTCAATCTGTGGGTATGAATTATTCTTAGGAGTTTCCATGTTGGGATTAAGAAGGTTTTATAATGCATCTGTTATTGTTATGGATTTTACCTCTTGATTCTGAAACAATAATTTTCGTAGGGTTGTATTATTCATTATAGAATTTAGAGGAGCATTTCTATGGTGTTGTTGGATGATGATGATCAAATGCTTCTCTTAGGTTAAGCATAATTAGGGCATTATTTTATAATTAAAACTTACTTTCCACCATGAATTCAGCACTGTGCAATATGGGACTTCAGCCTTATTTGTTTATTAATAGTCCCAAAGGGTATTGCAGTTCTGAAATGTTCTAAAAACAGTGTTTGGATATTGCCGACAGAGACTTGTTGAAACTTTGTGTATACTGCCATACTGTAACTTCCCCTGAACAAAGGGAAGGTGATATAGCTATCTTCCCCATAACACCTGACCCCCATGCATCCCCAAAAGCCTCCATAATAGATTAGCAGGCATGTGTACCATGGACGGTTACTGCTGAAAACCAGGGGCCATCTATCCCAGCATAATGTTTAGTCATGTTTTCATGGTAAACTGACAAAAAAAGATATATATATATATAAATATACATAACATGAAGCTGTGTTCTGCGTGGTTGATCCAAATATCTATACCTAACCATGAAACAGACTAACAGCTCATCCACAAAAAATAATGAAACAAATAGAGAAAAAAAAGAAACATTTACCACAGAAACAGGTTGAGCTTACATAGCACTGTGCAGTCTGTTCCCCAGCTCATGTTAACATCTTTTTATCATCTATGCAATAAGGCAGTAATATGAAATAAAGATTTCTCATTATATGTCATTTCATTATACCTAAAAAGTCAGAATATGGTATTTGGTATATACAAACAATCAGCTACCAATAACCATAGTTGTGGATGTGATTACTGATTACATCTTAGTTCATGTGAAAAATCTCTCTCCCTTACTCTTTCATGTAAATAGTATTAAAAAAAAAGGAGAAGAAAAAAAAAATGTTCTGAACACGTATCTCATCATGTATGTAGACCTACTGATATTTAAGATGTAGACATATAGACATAAAATACATATACAAACCAATGCACACAAACTATTTATATTTTTTGGCATATATATATGCAAAATAATATACATACTATAACCAACAACTATACCAGATGACATACTGTGGATGAAATTATACATTTATGCAAATACACAACATTCATATACAGATAGTCCTCTACTTAAGAACATTCTACTTATGAACATTCCATACATACAAACAAAATTTTTTAAGTACTAAAGTCCAAAAAATTGTTTGAAAGATGCTAGCAAACTTCAAATTTCCCTGGCGTGAATATAGTTCAAGAGTTTGGTACTGTATAAGGTATGTCGTACTTATTGGGATTTATTTACAGGTATTCTTAATGTAAACAAAACTTTAAAACAATGGGAAAAAAGGTAATGGAGACCCGACTTTCGACATACAAACAAATCAACTTACAAACAGCCTCTCGGTCCCCATTATGTTCTTAAGTTGGGGACTTACTGTATTAATATATGAAGAATACAAAAATATAAAGATTTGGGTCTGGATTTAGAATGGCTGGGAGGGGTAGGGAGTAGAAATGGGAATAAGAAGATATACTGAGGGGGATGTATAAACATCTTGGAAGGAAGGGGTTGAGGCAGGGCAAAAGGCAACACTGGAGTAGGGAACAAGAAAAAAATCTTCTGGCCTTGTGTAAAATGAGGCTAAGTTTGAAACCGAGAACTGCCACTTCAGACTCAAACTTTTTGGGAGGTTAGCCTCTATAAAATTCATAATGGGAGCCACTACAATTGGCACATCTGCATAATAGCACAGATTGAAAAGTTTGAACGATCATGACATGGCTGAGCACAAAGGGGGTTGTGGGCAGTGTTTGGCAGGGTGGCCAATATTTCTGACACTTATGGGGGGAAAGGTCAATATAGCTGAATAAGGAAGGGGTCTCTGCCAATACAAGCATCATGGGGGAGGTCATATCTACAGAAAGTAAGACTGGCAATATTGGTGGAGGAGCTACAGCAGCCTGTTGGAGGAATAGTGTAGTATTGCACTGTTACTGTATCATAGTCACTGAGGCAGGTAAGCAAGACGTTTCCAGAGTCTGAACAATCTGTCAAGGAAATGGAGACAGTTCTGCTATAAGTATTAAGGGAGGGGTGGAGCTGGGTAGAACAGGTTTTCCAGTGAAGTCAGTCAGGGTAGATAAAGTTTGAGCTTGGGGCTCTGATGTAACTATGACAAGGTGTGAATGATCAGGACAACTGCAGAAAGAAACTTTGTTTACTTGTTTTTCGAGATTTCATTGGAAGAAGAGAATGTTGTGAGAGTAAGGGGCTGTAGGGGGGTTCACAAAAAATCTCTCTCCCTTGGCTGGGCTAAAATGAGTACTCAAAGGGTTTGTAGAGGAGGTAGTAGTAGAACAAGGATGCAAGAAAGAGAGAGTGATATTGAGTGAAGTAGATCTGCAGAGAGTCAGACAATAAGGATGAAGAGTAGTAAAAAGGGGAGAGGAGGTAGAAACTGAAGAAAACTGTAGAGGATGAGATGGAGTACAGAATGTTGGGCAAGGAACGGATGTTTTCCAAAGATTGGGTAATAACCTGGTTGGTGACTTGGAATGGACTGGAGCTAACAGCAGATGTAGTAGTAGTAGTTGTAGTAGGAGTGTTCTGAGTCGTGATCAAAGGACAGTCAGGGGTCTGAGAACTGGAAAAGTTAAAGTCAGTGGGATAAAGGGGCAAGCCTAAATGCCGCTAGTAAAGATATAAAATAATTATTGGCCATGGTAGCCCTTGAGTATGCAATGAAGCAATGTAAATAACTAAACAGGAATACTGTGTCCATGGCCAAAGCTAGTCTTTTATTCTTACATCAGAGCTCTATCATCTTAGGAAATGGACTGGAGAAGGAAAAGAAAGGGGGAAGAAGAAGAGACTGCAAAATTGGTTGAGCCAAGGGAAGGGAAATCCCCAATACAGTCTCCATTTCCAAAACCACATGACAACAACGGGCTTAACATAAGGGTCATAATTAGTTGGGGTGATCTTTCAGGTTCACTTCAAAATCTCCTGTTCGTCCAGTGACTGCCCTGGGTGTTTTACCTATACAGAGAAGAGCAATGTGCTCATGGGGTTGCTATGGCTATCCCTAGTCAATTCATTATTCTTGGCAGCCTAACAGACCCTGAGACACCATGATGACACTCTCCAGCAAGGAATGCTCGATGCAGCACAAAATTACAACAGTAATCGCCCCAAAACAATACAGAACTTTTTCTTGCTAGAGGTGCTAGTGGCCACTGATGTGTGTTACAATTCACCTGGAGATAGGGAATTGCATCATGCCCTGGCATACAAGAGTTCATCATCATCAAGGGGGCTAATGCCAACGGGAGTGCATGGCCACATCCACCCTTCACTTCCAGCCACAAGAGTCCTTCATGGCGAGTCACCAGGCAGGCCCTCGGCCCATCTCTAACTGCTCGCGGCAGGTTTCGTCGAGTTGCCCAAGCCATGACCTCCTAGGTCGTCCCACGGTCCTCCTCCACCCAGGATTGTCTTGCAGAGAGACAACCAGATGGGCAGGGTCATCCATGGGGAAACAAGTAAGGTGCCCATATAGCCAGAGTTGGCAATCATGGATTATGCAAGTAACAAGTCCCATGCCAGTTTCACGGTGTAGCCGTCGGTTGGACACATGGTCTTGCCAATTGTAACCCATGATCTGGCAAAGAGACATGTTACAAAATCAAGATGAGACTCCAAGGCACTAGACAGCGTCCAGGTTTCGCTTCCATAGAGCAAAACTGGCGGTATCAAGGCCTTGAAGACACGTAGCTTGGTTCTTCTGCATAGGTACCAACATCTCCAGATACTCTTGTTGATTGAGTTCAATGGCTCTGCTGCCAGACCAATCCCTCTACTGACTTCTTAGTCTGACAGCCCAGAGATATGGACTATACTACCAAGGTATGCAAAGCTCTCTATGACTTCGACATCTTCACTGCAAACATGGATCGACTGAATGGGTTCTCCTAACAGGCCCCCAAAGTCCTGAATCTTGGTCTTGGTCCAAGAGACCTCCAGATTGCTCCAGTCTCTGGTGCCTTAGTAGGTGGTCGCGGATCCGTTTCAGAAGAATGTGGGCGAAATCCTTGCCTGGTATGTTGAGCAGTGTAATGCCACAGTAGTTACTACAGTCCCAACGATCCCCTTTCCCCTTCCAGAGAAGGATGACCACGCCCCTCAGGTCAGGAGGAATGGTTCCAGCCTGCCAGACGGCAGTCAAAACTGCATGCAAGCCCTGTGACATTGATTCACACCCAGCTTTTCACAATTCAGCAGGGATATTACATGTGCCTGAGGCTTTCCCACACTCACTGATGGGTGGGTCTGGCACAGGTATTGTGAAACCACTTGCATCTGAGCTAACTGTTGAAGGGTCTACCTGGTACAGATGCTCAAAATACTCAACCCAACGTTTACGAATCCCAACATGATCTGAGATGATCTGGCCATCCACTGAGCAGACTGCAGTCATCTGCGAGGAGAGCTTAGAGCTCAGTTTTCTCAGAGGTTGTTAGGCAGGGCGAAGGTCATTTACCAGGAAATGGCCTTCAACCTCCTCAGCAAGGTTCCTGATGAACTCTTCCTTGTCCCTACTCCGCGGTGTCTGAGTCCTACGCACCAAAGAACGACGCTAGTCCTGATTGCCATTCAGCCAAGCCATGCAACATGCTTTAGTGGCCTCCAATGTCTCCGGGGATATGGAATTCTGCCTTGCCCTCGGGCATATGTCAATGGACTCCTGCATCGAGTGTTTCGCGCTTGAAGGATTCCATCCATCAGATTTTTGAGTTCTGTGAATCGAACAGAGACTGCTGCGGCGAACCCACGGGAACACTCCTCCTCCTTCAGTCGGTCCAAGTGAAACACCCTAGAGTGGCCACTGGAGGGACGAGGAGTTTTGAAGTGGACCCATAGGGTAGCCACTATCAGCCTATGGTCAGTGCCACGGAACTCAGCACTCCGGTAAACCCTGCAGTTCTATAGGATCCTCTATCGAATGCTGACAAGAATTTGGTCGATCTCCTTGTTCAGCGATGCGGGTTGGAGCGCCGATACCAGGAGCCAGAAATCCTCATTCTCTGGGACCTAGCAAAGTCCTGGAGGAGGAGGCTGTTCTCACTGCTGGAATCAGCTCCCGAGCCATGGAGGCTGACAGACATCTCGTAGTCAGCCTGAGCACAGCTGGATACCGCATTGAAGTCGCCCAGAACAATACGAATGTCTTGCTGGGGGTAATTGTCTGCCACGGATGTGAGTAGGTGTAGATCGCCTCTTTTACATTGAGTTTGCAAACATTGGTTGGAGTGTACACAGCAATAAGAGGCTTGAAGCCAAAAGCATGCCTTAAGGGTGTTGCTAGCGAGGATCATGATAACAAATGTTCATGCGGTTTTGATGTCACTTTAGTTAAAATAATGAATTTGAAACCTAGTTGTGATGTTATTAAAAGGTTATCTTTTATTTGATTACTATATTGCCTAAGTTTGGAATATTTTTTTCCAACCTGGAAATAACATTACCTTTTCTGTGTCTGTAAACTCTGGGTACTGTGAGATTTTCTTTTTGTTTTTCTTTTCAATGTTAAGAGTTATATCTGCAGTCTGCATTTCCCACAGCTTATAGAATTTATAATGATGAATATTCACATACATCTTTGACATGAAAATGTCAGAATTTGTTTAGTTATTGCTTATTATAAATATTAATGGCAA